GATAATAAAATAATAATATAATAAATAAATAAGATAAAAATATAGTAATAATAAAATTTGACAACTAGGGTCAACAACACAATGTTTATATATTTGATAACCTTTTTTAGATCAGTTAACATTTGCATCAGAATGTGAAGGTTTTTTAATTATATCAAAATTACTAGTTTCTTGTAATAAATCTATAGAACAATATAAACATTTTTGACAATTGAAACAAGTGCCAATTTGGTAAAAAGAAAACATAGAGATATAAGCAGATCACAAAATATACAGTATAAAGATCACAAATTGTGTCATGAAATATAAAGATTGCAGATCAAAAAACCATATTATTACTTATATTTTTATTGGTTAAAAAAAATCACATGCTTGTTTTCTGTTTTCACTATATTTATTTATTTTGATTGCTTGATTGGCTGATTAGATCATTTTGAAAATAGTTATAATTAAAGATACATATAACTAGGTATTTTTTTATTTCCATATATAAAATAGATTCTGAGAAATTTCAAAAAGATGAAATATTCAAAAATCAGAAATCAATTTTGGAAACATGTATATTCTGATATATGTATCAGGTCATTTGGTTTTGTGCACAATACAATGTCACATTCTTATCTTACATCTAGTGATATGTCTTCATTTATCCAAATAATAGCTACTTGCAATGCAGTAGGTGTATTGTTGATTCTCTAATCTAATTCAGAAATATTCATATGTATGACTAAACAAATTTGTAATATATTGATAAGATATTTTAGAAATACATCATAAATTAGTAACATATGGATTACTTATGTAAAGTATCTCTTTCGAGGATTGTATAATTCTAGAATTAATATCAGTATTCAGAGTTATATTTAATCGATAATTAATCTCTTCATTTGTATCCCAAGTATACATCTGTAAGTATTGTGGATCAAAGCTTGATTCCAGTAATAATGATCTGATTCGATGATAAAAAGGATCTTGGATACAAAAAAGTATATACTCTGTTCTCACGTTAGCCAATTTATAATCTAATTTAGTTCCAATTGATACAAAAGAAAATATTGAATTATAAATTTAAATTTTATTTCAAAAATTCTTAGATTTTTTATCCTGATTACAAAGTAAATGTTGTAATACCATAGGAATGTTTAGTTCTGTCAATTTTATTTTTTGGTTGGAGCAATATATCCCAGGTCTTTTAGCTGGTAATTTAACTACACAAAAATACTTACACATTGATACTACCTGCTGGAAGAGTGGAGATAAACACAAGGAAAGTGTTTGTATTTAGCCTGGTAGTTATCAGGAGTTTTGAAAGTATAGAATGTATAAATATTAACAAAAAAGATTAATATTACTACTTGCACATTACCAAAACTATTGTAGACTTTTTGATGTAACTTGCCAAGAAATAATAGAAATAGTTTATTATATTTTATTAAAGTTTAATATCGGATATAACAAAAGCAATATATTACTGCTTTGGCATATCTTATCACTTTTGTTATTCCGCTACACTAA